AATCAATTGAGGAAGGCTTGCTGACCTCATCCTCGACGGCCGGAGAAATCAGTGCAAAGGTCAACATTTTGCAAGCCATTACATTCGTGGCCGAAAGTTGGCGAAAAATGAGCAGTGCGACAATTCGGAACTGTTTTTCTCACTGTGGCTTTAAGGATATTGTCTCGGAGATGGATGTGGATATGGTGGTTGTAAATGAACATGACGGCGAGAATGTGGAGCTGAAACATGTTGAAAATTACGGAGAATTTTTGTCAATCGACAACGAACTTCAACTCTATGATGGAAATGAAGAATGCGATGCTGCCATTGTTGCTCGAATAGCAGCGAAACACACGACAGCAACAGAAGACCATGGAAGTGATGAAGAGAACCCTAACGTGTTGATGCCAGTCACAAAACAGGATGCAAGGAAATGCATTGAAACATTGCACCGCTATTTCATGCAGGAAGGAAATGAAGGTAGTCCTATTACTGCGTTACATGTTTGTGGTGATTTTGTGCGAATGCAGTCTGTTAAAAGAATGCGTCAAACCACACTGGATACGGTCTTCAAACGCTGAATGGAATTCGGTAATCCCTTTGTATAAAACTGTACTTCGCATGCTGAATATCTTGTAGGTCGTTACGAAGAATTTGTTTGTAAATTTCTTTTTCAGTGAACAAAGTTAGTTATCAAAGCAGTTCTTTTTTGTGTGTTTGCCATAAATATATGCCGCCAATACAGGTCATAATAGTAGTTTCCTATGTTATGTATAGCACGTCCCATCTTGTTACATCGGGTAACTTCGGTTAATCGGACCAGCCGCTTAATAGGACCAAAATGGTCTGGTCCCGATGTGGTCCGATTAACCGGAATCGACTGTATATATATATATATATATATATATATATATATATATATATATATATATATATATATATGCAAAGCAGCCAGGCCGTCTATGCTGGCCATAAGGATATCAGTCGAATACCCATGGTGATAGAGTTTCATCAAACGTGCATCTGATTAGATGAATCGGTGTGCTCTTTGAAAGTAGTTGACCAGGAAAGTTGTGCCCTAGAAATATGTAAATATCATCAAAACGCAAAAGGCGCGCAGCTAGGCTACAGACAGTCCGTTTTATGGAGTAAGAGCTACTAGCACTCAAAACCTCAATATGGACAACCGGGAGACTGAGGCGGTCTGGCCCGTAACCACTGACCAATCTGGTATAAGTGGTTTTAAAAGCGCAAAAGCAAAACTTAGCGTAGTCCAATGGATCGTTGGGGCACACAAACCATCGCAGCACGTTAGGGTGCAGTCTCATCGCAATGGAAAGGTACCAACAGGATCGTATTGATAAATGGCAATAAATGCTCTTCCAATTTCTACACGACGATTTCCGCGATGAGTCCGGATACGGGTGACCCCATTGGTGCACCTATGCCCATTAAACTAATCCAAGTGGGAAAACTACAAATACGATGCAACAATATTTGTGTTGCTTGTGTTACTGACTAAAGCACAAGCGTAGAACACAATGAATGATTAATCCGGACAATACCAAATTGGTAGACCCGTACACCTATGTAAGGAACGGAGTAGTAGCTGAAGTCATCATTGCTTGCATTTGCCTTCGATCAGTTCCAGCTACCAAAATGCCATCATTTCTGCACTGATGATGTCACCTCGAATGGTGATGAAACGGTTGCAAACAAACTGACCAGCTTGGAGAACACCACAGCTCCGGAAGCCCATTCGAAGAAGGCTATGGTTCTAATGCAAAGCATCGTCTGAGATTTTGACCGAAAAGTAGTAGGATCAAATTAACCGCGATCAAGCACTACGCCTTGGGTTGTACGCGCAACTCCGACTATTGCAACTTGAAGAGTTAAAGCAAGGACGGAACTAGTTGTGGAGAAGTGTCAAGAGGAAATAACGTCGAAAATATTCCACTACACACGCGGTTCCATCAGTAGCAAAAATAATACAATTAGAGTAATTAGTGATCCCAAAAGAGAATGTGCGCCGCAATGTAAACACACGGTGAGATCTTATCAACCAAACAATGATGTACCGGGAGATATGTGGTGGATGAGAAGTTTGATGCATAAAACTGAGATGGTCAGGGACGTATGTACGGATGAGCTGAATATGTACAGCTCTGATGGCGCCAACAGAACGACAGGTACTGAAAACTATATTTCGGAGAAATAAAAAATAAACTCCGTACAAATCCAGCGAGATGCAATTAGAAAGATTGGAAGTAATCAGCATTTCTGATAAGTCTTACATCCCATTAGTTTACAAGTTAGATAGCAGAGCCTAGTCCGGAAAAGCGCCAGACGCGTTTCGCCCTATTGGGGCTCGTCAGTGGCGCGCATTCCCTCTGTCCTTTAAGGAGGATCGAACCCATGACTGCTACTAGTGAGTAATATAAAATAAAAATAGCCTCTCCTAGTTTCAAATGCTATGGATATAACGTCTAGTGAGAGGACGTCATCACCTTGCAGGCTGTCAGTGACAGTGCCAGATAGGTGGTGCTATATCCCAGTTAGTTTGCAAATTATGTAGCCCAGCCAACGTCCCCCATGGTTCAGTAATTTAAGCTGCTGGCTAGTTGGCATCTGCCTCTAGCGGTCATGGGTTCGATCCTCCTTAGAGGACCGAGGGAATGAGCGCCACTGACGAGCCCCAATAGGGCGAAACGCGTCTGGCGCTTTTCCGGACTAGGCTCTGCTATCTAGCTTGTAAACTATTGGCATGAAAGCCTTATCAGAAATACAACTAAAATCCTGTTACTGAGTAATATAATTAGCATTTGTCAAAAGTTACTTGCTTCTCCTTCTCCCTAGTGAGGGCACAACAAGATCTTAATCCCAAAATAGGGAAGTTGGGGATGTATGAAGTCGCGGTCAACAGGGAAACGCTCTCTGAGGCGAAATAAATACTAGGAAATGTGTTTTGTGAAGGCTCGTTGTAGCCATATACTCAGAGAGACAGTGAGCATGTATCCAAAAAACACTTGATGGCCGTTTCGCCCTACTGGGATACGTCAGCAGCGCGCACTCGCCGAATCCGTACGGATTCGAATCCACTAGCTTACTCGTATGAGTCCGCGACTTAAGCTACTAAGCGATGGGTGACAGCAGCAATGACTGATATCTAGCTGTGATATAACGCGGTCCGGCCTCCACTGCCATGCGTGTTATGAGCGTGCAGAGGAAAGGGCTGCCTTCAGGACCAACGACTTCAATTGTAATCCGCCACCAAACGAGGTAACATGTACGCTGCTAAGGTGATTACTGATTAGTAGTGAGCAGCCGGTGGTTATTGTTTCGTACTAGTTAGACTCAGGCAGACAGCCACCGCACATCCAGAGAAACGCTAGATGGCCATTTTGTCCTATTGGGAGCAACACCATGCATATCGTTTCTTATGGATAATACTATGTTGACAGGAAAGAAAGCATCTATGAACAGTGAGCTGCTCGCACAAGGACCTTGACAAGTTGAAGTGTTACCGCCACCAGTTGTTGAGACTAGTACATGTTCTGGATCTGATGATAGTGTTTGTGATTCATGTAATAAATGTGTGGCTGTAAGGTGAGCTGAAATAAAGAAGAAGCAAACTGAGATTGACCTAGAGATGGTCAAGTTATGTTTAGAACTGAAGGATGGCCTAAGTGGTCAGGAAGATCCCACGGGAAGCAGTCACATGCCAGAAGAGAGAGAGAATGAGTCATTTTGTGGAAGATTGCCAAAGGACTGTGCCGTCGAGAATGGTCGCTAACTTCTATCCTCCCCCTTCTCTGACAGCTTCCCATTCGTTTATGGACTTGCCAAAAATTGGAACTGGAGTTTTTTGACGGGAATCCAGCAAAGAATTGGAATTTTGTAAAACTATTCGTGTACTAAGTAGGAAGTCGCGTAAGTGATAGCGGACGACGGTTTATTGACTTGATGTACTATTGTAGTAATCACCCTAGCAGCTTCCATGCCAACTTGAACGGTGGCGGTCGACAAATGGAGTTGTTGCTCTGGGGGCCAGCCCTGTTCTCTGCACGTTCACAACATGCAAGAGAGTGGAGGATGAGCAGCGCTAAATCGCAGTTGGGCATCAGTCATGGCGGTCGGCTGCCGTCACCCATGGCTCAATGGCATAAGTCGCTGGCTCGTAAGAGTAAGCTAATCGTTCCTAATCAGGTGGGACCGGCAGGTGCGCGCTACTGACGAGTCCCAATAGGACGCAACGGCCGCCAAGCGCTTTCCTGGATGTGTGGTGTCTGTCTGTCTGAGACTATCTGCGGGGAATCTTTACAAAAATACAATAAATCCCACTATTCATTAAGTACCCAGAAATGTCTCGAGTTGTGAGACCGAGTTGACTGTGACTATGCGATCCGGATGAGGGTTCCAAACATTCACAAATCTCCGTATGAAGCACAGAGGGTAGGAAGCTCTGTTCAGAGTTGGTATGGCGTGCGAGTGCTGCATGGCGTGCGGAGGTGGAGCAGTGGCCTCAGCATTGGAAGGTGGCGGAGATATATAGTCCTAGTCTATCGAACAGGACTTACGGTATATTTCTCAACAACACGAGGCACAGTGCAACTCAGCGTACAGTGAACCCCGTAAACTGGAGGTCAGCCAAATAACAACACGTCAAACCTGCACGATCTTCTGCACATTGCCCAAGATGATCAGACAGTAGGCGACGAGCCGTAGTCTACCACTGGTCATATGATGGATGAAAAGAGACAAGTGTCGATCTCTGCGATATGGACTGATAAGCCTAATGAGTAAAGTGATAAGTTGAAAAAGTCTGCATAATGCGCCAGTACGATAGGCAGCCACAAAAATAGATAGCTTGTGACCATCTCAGCAATTCACACAATGAGCCACCACTTAGTGCATGGGTGAAAAGAAGACGAGCCACAAATCTTTTACAATTCACAGTGGAACATGTAATTCCCACGAATGCCAAACTGTCAATAGAGTGCTGGTTGGACGGCACTTACGTTGAACACAAATTGTTGTACTTCTTTGCCAGATGCACCTGAGCACAAAGACCAGATGAGCCACGGAGAAATCACGATAATGTCATATTTCATGAATTCGGCCATCCAGTGTGGTAGCTGCCATTCTGTGTAAGGTTTCGCATACTGAAAACAGCCAACTGAATATCCAGTGTGTCGAGTAAGACAGCGGGATGTGGCCGCGACATTCTTATCTATACAAAAGAACAATGGAAACCAACACAATTGAACATACCTGAGGTAAAGTAAATGACACGTTTTCCTCTACGATCGAAGCCCATTTCACGGATAAGGCTGAGAACTATGAAGTTCTTCGTCAGTTCGTTCGAGAGACAAATTATTGTATTTCGCTCATAAGCCGTATGTAATAAATCAAGCTAAAAGGTTAAAATAGAAACAAAATGGGGGCAATGTGAAAGACGATTCCGGAAGTCAAGTTCGTCATACTGCAAGAGAAGCAGTCATTCGACACAGCAGTTTAGGCAAGTCGACCCAGCTATGGTCGGAGTAATGAATTGCAGTGCACTCAAAATTCTTGCCTAACGCCACTAAAATAAAAGTAATCATGAAACACGAGAGTGCACAAAAAGTAAAGTCCTAAGGTCATTCGGAACAAGAAAGTGGAAGGCAAATTTAAGAGCACAGCCGAATACGTGGGTGTGATGTATTTTATAAGGTTTCCAAACACAGATGGATTGTCCGGTCATCATTTATCATTTCATTATACACGTTTGCTAGAGGTGGGAAAACACCTCCGCTATTGTGCCGCAGGATTGTCCGGTGCCCCATCCAAAAAGAGGGTACCAATCAACCCCACCTGGCACCTAAATGAGTATCTCCATGCAATTTTGACGAGTCGTTGGTTGTTCACATGGGGCTTTAGTATAACCCGGTGCAGAAAGAACAAACAATAAAGAAAGGAGCGGCCGGGAAACGATCGCGCAAGTGACATGGCTTAGACAGCACAGGCTTCGAGCGCAACAAACACCCCATTGCGGTATCAGGCCGATGATCAAAAGCATTACATGCTCGCATTGTCACCCGGAAGTCACCGCTACGAACCCACGTAGGTGCGGGCGACCTCGCGATTTACTTAGCCGAACTGCGACTGGCAGTTGGCGCGTGGCAGTGAAGCGTCGTTACGATGTACCGGTGTAGTTCTTTCCAGTGCGGCACCAGGTGAACACCAACCTCACATGCGCGATGCGCTCGTCAGATATGAGCGACATCTCACAGACATCGGTGAGTGGACGTGGTCAGTCTTCTAATGTCACTAACACACAGTGAGCACGTCTCTGACTCAAACGATAGCGTTGGCTACGCTGCAGCATACGGAAAACTCCGCTTGACATGTAAGAGAATGATCGGTTGTCCTCATAGATATGACTGAGAATTTGTATAGATACGCCAGCCCCACCAACATGTTGGGTGATGCTACGTACAGAGGTGCAACGGAGCTGTTTAGATAGGCAAACCGAGTGGCCACTAGAAAAACAGATAGCACCTCAACAGCTGAGTTGGCTTGGTACCGTATAACATATAGCCGGTCACCGCTTACCGAGGAGGGCCTTGTTTTGTTTGCAAGATGCAGGTTGGCGCAACGTTCGAGGTAGGCAAACGTTGACCTGGTAGACCTCCATCGTCTTTAAAGGTTATGTGAGCGCGGAATCACAACAAGAGCCATTTTCATCTACGATAGTAAAAATTGGCCCTTTCGGTTTGAAGATCACAGGTGCATGCAGGTCGTTGAGCATTGTCAGCAGTCTATCACCCATGTTGCTTGGCATCGATGTGGGTATAAAGATGTTGGGCATATGCGGATAATGGGCGACTCCTCGGCTCAACTAGTGGAATTGAGGAAATTGCAGTGGCCTGAGTATGTGCAACATGCCAGACTACCACCAACCGGGGAAGGTATTGTTTTGACTTTCGGGCCTAGGATGGCAAAGGCCAAGAAACGTAATCAATAACTTGGTAACTGTAAACTGAGTGACTGATGAGAAAATCGGGCCTTGCTGGTTCGTATCACCCTCCAAACATGCGGGTCCATGCGTTACACCCTATACTTGAGTCGGTGCATGAAGTGACATGGATCGGAACTAACAATTGGGGTGTTGGTTAGCTTATTCTGGTCTGACTGTCTGCTGCGGTTCATATGGTGCTTAGTCGTTCCATTGCCGTTACCCAGCTACTGCCAACAAGGGGTTCCTACCGCAGCCTCTCATTGGTGTTGGTGGCGGTAGCTTACTAAACCGCAGAATTAATGTTTGCTGGCTGCATAAATGTTGTCAACTATTTCGATCTCAGGCAAGGAGGCTTTGATCTGACATTTATCAACTCCAACCTGTCCATGTTGGAGAGCTGGACCGTCGCTGACAAGTGTGTAACACAATAACATACCTGTGATGCCCCTATGGGCGTCTAATTCTCGAGTAAAGTATCCTTTCTTGTGTATTGAAATTATGATTGATATATTAAAGCTCCCTAAATTTTGTGGACCAAATCACGCTCTTGCAGGCCAGCATTCCTCAAATGGCAGTTTATATGGTCAGAGTACATTCTGAGAGGTCCTCTTTAAGAAGAACATAGAAAGCGCGTAAAACCACAGCTTGAAAACAGTCAAATGATTTACGGAAATCAGTAAAAATCAGTCTTTGTTTTTTATAACAGACTCTATAAAAACATATTTAAATTGGTCAGCACTTAATGCAATGTGTCCATTGCACGCAATTGCTGGCACGAACAAAGGCCTGGTAACTCTAGGTACGGGGACACTGACTAGTGACTGTGATGGAATGCAAACAAATAGCATCTTACGAAAGCAGGCTCTGTTAAGGGGATGATATGGGACATGCTGCAACCCCTTGCATTCCAGTGACTCAAGTTCATCCTACCCCGCAACTGCTGACCTAAGGCATTACCAGTCTTACCTCCGTCATGCAATTGGTCATCTTCCGGGTGATAAAGTACCCTAGGGCATGTGTAGTCGGCACCCATTTGCTCCCTTCATGACTACATATGCCTCTATACCTATACCCGACATCCTATTGACTAACAGCACCAGACGAATGAGACAACTACGCGACGGTGCGCGCGAAAAAACCACGGCAAACGCATGGATGAGTAAACTCGCAAGAAAAACGGATGAATCTGAAACCACTACGGCTTAACTTGATTGTGCCATGGCTAGACTTAATTGCGAAGTGGTATAAAACCGTAGAGATTCGATAGAACCGTGTCTGGAAGGTTTGCCTTATCAACAAACAAAAGGTTTGCAATAAGCACCGCAGCTAAGACAAACGTTTCAGGCGTCCAGGTAGCACACACTAGGAAAGAGGATGGTTATCGTCATCAGCAGCAGCAGTACATCAGCCATGGGAACTGATGCTTCGGTGCCATACAACAATGAGGATCTATGAAATGATGAATAAGAAGAGGGAGAGGTGGCTTACCTGAAAACATTAACGTCCAAAGCAAACGTTCAGGGTCAAGGCGCCTAGCCCTTGTGTTAACAACATACCGTCACAAACAGCTGGCTATCGTGTAAGCATAAGGCGACATTGGCGAGAGAGTGAGCTTGCGGCTTTCACTGCCACGCGTCATAATCATCCATTACCCCGCAGATAACTCAGCACCAAACACACTTTAAACAGGCAGTCCGACAAGCAGACGGCAGCAGACGCGCCACTGGTGTCGGTTGCGAGCTATCACCTGTAAAGTCTCGAGCCAAGCACAGGGCGAGTCACGTGGACTCCAGCCCGGAAGGCGAGACAGACAAACGGTACCGAGTTCGGCCGTCAGTGACTTCATTTCTTGTTGCCAAGTCAACTGGTGTGCACATTGAGCCTTGAGCCACATTACACGTGGCAAAGTAAACAAGCCCTCTTAGATAAGCGGTGACCAGACATCCGTAGCACGCGCCCAAGCCAATGCAACTCATGTAGTGCTATCTGCTGTTCCAAGGAGCTAGCTTCGCTATCATTGCCTAGTACGAGCCTGCGCACAGATGCATCAACCATGGGATTGGCACAGTAATTACATACACGTACACCGATGGATCTCAGAAAGCAATCGCCCATGCCACCAGAACACTTACGAAGGCCGAGAGGGATTACAGCTAGAGTGAGAAAGAAGCATTGGTCATAATGTACATGGTCAAGAAATTCCACAAAATGCTATACGGCCGCCGCTTCAAGCTTCTGACAGATCACAAGCCTTTGCTGGCTATCATTGGTTCGAAAAAGGGCATCCTGGCCTACACCGCCAACCGGCTACAACGTTGGGCTCTTACCTTGATTTATCATGATTTATCTTTGCATTATTCTGTGAATAGTAGATCAACATCAATGCCGACTCAGGCAGCAACTGGGTGATTACATAAAGTTGCGTCTATGTTGGAATTGTTGTCGTAAATTAAACCGTTTAGCATAACTGATGACCTATTTTGAGCGTGTGTCAGGCTTTCACCTACTTGCTCTGAAGACATTCAAAAAGTGAAGTAAAATTTCACTTGCCTCATGTGATCCTGCTTGCAATGACACTTATTATCAACACACCGGACATCGGACCTCCGATAGTTTGGTGAATCTGTTGGAATCCAAAAAACATCGGTGCCGACACCGGACCCAATGCGATTCGGCAATCTTTTACGTGTGAATTCTATGGGTGGGGGGGAGCTAACAGTCAACTCTTTTGAACTCAGAAGGCTCAGCAGATGGAAGATGTAGGAGCAGCACATAACTCTTAAACTAATTATCACCGGTGCCTTTAGGAAATCATCCACGTTATTTGGGAAATCGATGGTAACACCGGATCACTAATACACAATAAAGAAAGCCACCTGGCTCGCTTGATGGAACACTTTCAGGGACAGGCGTTGCCCGTTCTCCCGTGGCACGGGCTGCTTTATGCTCAGCTATCTTAGCGACTCCATCTAGAGGCGGGGTTCCAAATGCCAATACATCCCCTATTACTTCTTCGCAGCCATTCCGAATTCCCCCGTTTTCGTGCCGTGTTAGGATGGCGGCGAGCGTTTCTTCATCGAGATGACTCAGCTGCTCGAACAAGCA